GTCCATCTCCTCGGTGCGAGCCCGCTCCTTTGCAGCAGCGACTTTATCCGACAGCTTGCTCTGCAGAAGACCAAGCCGTCCAGGGCTTCGTTTGTCTTCTTTGCCGCATCCTCTGCACGACTTTCAGCCCCAGCCACCTTACCCTCAACCGCAAAGCTCTCGTCCACTTCCGCTTTCAACGTAGCGGTGTCATTGGCCCTCTCTTGCTGGGCGCGGAAGGTTTCCATCAAACCCTACACGAAGGAACAAACCGCCGCATACCCTAAAAAAAGAGGCAGAAAGCGAGTTGAATGTCGAGCCCATATGCAAACGCTACTCACCGCAAAGTGGATCTGTGCGAGGTAGTGGAGCAGATCAGTGTTCTCCATCCGCGGAGGAATGCTAAAGATGGGGCCCATAGTATTTAGAGCACTCTGAGCGACAATCAAAGATGATGCGGCACCAGAATGCACCTGCATGTCTCGGAAATGGGTTGAAACAAGCGTTCTGAACCCAGGCATATCTGGCAGTGTTTGTTTCATCCCATGTGACAACCTATCTACTTCGCGCCGAATTCAAATTCTTGATTCCAAAAAATCTAAGAAACATAACATAATTCCAAAAAAGTTGAGATAATATAGGGATGTTCATTCGATTTCCACTATGGTCCACAATAAGATCAAACATAAAAGAGACCACTCACTTGTCTATTTATAGTTATATGAGTTAGGTGTAGTACTAAGACCTATCCCTAATTTTCAAATAAACAACACAAATAGGAACCGAAGTCTCTTGAGTTTTTACTTATCAACAAATTTCACAAGAGGATCGGACTTGCAGTTTCTGAAATCTCCCAAGTACTTAGAAAGTCAGAATGATGTAGTCACCTGCATAAAAAAATTGAAATTGAGCTCCATTGTACATAGATTATCATGAAAAATATGTATTCCATATACACAACTATATATGTAACTGAGGTTCAATATCAAGTGAGACTAGAAGAGCGGAGTTATATTGACTCACCTTGGTTAAATTCACACCTTTTTCATATTTGAGAGGAGAGTCACCGAAAAATAATCGTGTCACGTAGTTTGGTACAAGCACCAAAGACTTCCTAAAACAGAAGCACAAGGCAAACAAGACAAAACACAGACAAAATTAACATTTCTACAAATTTCATAGCGGAATAAACCCAACTCACATAACAAGTCGAGACCAACAACGAGTTTTGTAACAAATGCAATCACAATCATTCGGTAGATCGACAAATTATAAAATTTTCCTGCATCATATATGACATATGATTTTAATATGACCATGTGCACATTACATTAGTTATATAGTAAACTTACCTTGGCGGTATCAAATTGGAAGACAAGAGACAAACTTACCTTGGCGGTATCAAATTGGAAGACAAGAGACATTGCTCTACTCAGACCAAGGAACAAGTTCGCATATTGTCGGTTTGCCTCTTGTTAATACTCATCGTACAATCCCATGTATCCCAACCACTTGATATTGGCATGCTCTAAGGAAGGAACATTTACCAATACTTTTGTCATTGGAGAAAAGTCATGAATCTCATTCTTGTAAGTGCATCGTTTCAAATTCGGAGCAAATACTTTTATCTCGTCGAAACCAAATACGTAGTCTACTTCCAGGCTAAGCAACTGGAATCCAACAACTTTCAAACACCTCATCGTCTCGTCGTCTTCGAGATCGTCACCAAGACAACAGCTGCAAGATATCAGTGCCAAATTCTTCAACATAGGAAAACGAGAAAACGGGTTGAGCGGCTGGTTCTAGCTAGAGAAATCCAAGTAGCAGTCGGACAAGGTCAAAGTTGTAAGTGCTTTGAAACCAAAGCTTGGCAGGCCTGAGTTCAGGTCCTTAAATCCTTTTTTTTTAAGAGGATCTTAAAGCGTTGTGATTAGGGATGGCAAAATTATCCGTAACCATTGATATCCGCCCGAATCCGACCTAATTGGGTAGGGTAAAACCCGAACCCGAACCCAAAAGACTTTTAGTGGGTACGGGTAAAATCCGAACCCGAACATTGCGGGTAATGGGCGGGTATGGTTTTCTCACTATCCAACCCGAACCCGCCCGATTATACACATACATATGTATTTTGTCTAAATAACCATTATTTTTCTCTAACTTATTTTAAATTTAGCATATAAAGATAATATTTTCATAAAATTGTGTTGTTTTAATTAATTTTTTTCATTCTAGTGGATAATTGTCGTACTCTTCGTTTTATGTAATGAGTGAATACATGTGAATATTAACATATTAGTTGGAGTTATAAAGAGAAACGACTACCCATGGATAACCGTGGATACCCGAAACCCGAACGGGTATGGGCATGGGTAAAACCCGAACTACTTTGAGTAGGGTAACGGATATGCATTATCCGTCCCCGACCCGACCCATTGCCATCTCTAGTTGTGATTGGCTTATTCTATTTTAGGTAGTTAAGGAGGAGTTATTAGTTAATTAATTGTTAAGGGTATTTAGGAAATTATAAATAAATTAAAAACGTAACCCTAACCGTCTATAAACCCTTGTTTTATTTTTTCCATAATTCACAGCCGAACCTTTTCTCTTGTCGTCAAACCACGTTCTCTGGCCATCTTGTAAGTCGTCGATCCCAGGTGCTCCCTTCTGCTCCCTTCTTGCAGTCGCCGGCCGTCCCTTCTGCTCCCGCCAGCTTGTCTCCGCTGTCGGCTCACAACTTCCGGTTTCACCTTATATGATTTCCCATTTTCCGGCGGAACAGTCCAGTCCAGACATAGTCCGGCGGACGTTTGGGTGGGGCGGCAGCCTCATCGCCACCGTTGAAGGCGGTCACGTCCGACCTCAGTCGCGTTGACCGCTTCCCTGTCTAGTCCGTCGTCAATCCCGAGCTCAAGTCGGCAGCGTTCAAGGTTTTTTCGTCTCCATATTTCATTCCGTAGTTTAGGGTTTTTGTGTGATGCATGGGTCTAGGTTTTGACACTGCATGGACATAGGATTTTTGGGGTTTGGTTTATGTTATATGATTATATTGGTCATTTTGTTTAACTAGATAGTCTTTAGTTTTAATTTTTTTGGTGACGTTAGTAACTTTGAAAATACCTTTATCAATTTGTTGATTCTACTATAAATTATTTTATTCCATTATTAAGTTTTACTTGTGTAACATTATTTGTAATGTTGTTTCTCACGTTTGTAATTGTTTAACATGCCATTATTAATTTTTTCGTGTTATGTTTCAATTTTTCATGTTAAAGTTCATTAGAAAATTATAAAGTTCATTTTTCTAAATTTGTACCTTTCTTATCTCGAATTATTTACATTATTAAGATATGTTCTTGACTTTTGTGAAATGGCATTATGAATATAATCGTGATATGTTATTAACATATTCTGATGGTATTTATCGTTATTCGAGAATGAGTGATTAATACATTTATATGTCATTTGTAAGTTTTTTTCAGTGATTCACAATATGCCGCGTACAAAGAATACAATGCGTAAGTCTGCACCGCTTAGTAAGACTTTGCAAAAGAAGGCAGATGCACCCACAACTGAAGACAATCGCTTACCGATCAGGTACAGTGTGTCTCAGGTCCGCAAGATGGTTAAGAATATTAGTCCCCGTCGTCAGGCTATGATTTCGAAGCTATGAGTTCGGCTTCGTTCTTAACTTGCAGATGCGTAGCATCGACCAACCTTAGGCTTCCATATCTGACAGAGCAGGTTTATAGTAACGACCTACTTCAGGTTGCTTCACAATTTGGTTCCCAACTCGGCTAAGATTATTCATTAGTGAAATGCGTACTTAACAGAGTTCTACCTCTTTTTCTTTCACTACATTTCGATTTCCTCTTTCAAACAATAAAAGTCACAATGTCAAGGTTTATGTTGACATTTTTATGGTCGGATGTCTTTATTTCTCCAACTTGGTACGAACCATATATTGACACTGTTTCGTTTTACTATCATTAATTCGTATTATTAATTAATGTATGGTCGTTTTCAACGTGTTTTGAGCGGATTATTAATACATTCGTACTTTATCATTTTCTAATTAATATTATCATTTTCTATTGAACTTTAAGTCTCAAAATCTAAACATGACACGGAAAAATTGATAATTGAATTTGAAACAATTACACACGCGAGCAAATTTTTTTACCGAATCTAGGAAATTTCTAAGAAACTCTAGGCGCTCCGAGAAAATAGGAATCCTAGGGCAGCTCCTTCCAAAAAACCCGTTTCCATGGCCGCTGCGCTTCCGGGGAATGGTACCCCGGCGGTGAAGCCCCTTGATCCCACTGCTGGTGTGTATCGGCCAGCCTTAACCACTTCGTCGCCGACGGGGAAAGGCGAGAAGGAGACCCAATAGGCAAAAAAGAAGGCTAAGCCGATGACGGCAAACCCTCTATTCGATCATGCAACAATGGAAACCACTCTTATCGTCGGTTCAGAGGCTGATAACCAGGGTACTGCTGGCTTTGGCAATCAAGATTGGTCAGGTTCCCAGCATCATACTGCATGGGGAGGAGCGAACAGAAAACTTTTCAGCGAGGTCCTGTTGCAGGACGAGTACTATGTTGTGGAGTCCGACTCCGAGGATGTAGCCAATGCAATGCGGGAGGATGATCTGGATGATGAGATTCCCGAGGATGATGATCCCCACTGTCTGACAATCCCCTTTCGAGCCATGGAGAAACAACGTTGGCGCCGAAAGTGGAGATCGGCTCTGATTGTCAAAGTCCTAGGCCGAACATTCCCGTTCCCGGCAATCTCCCGACGTTTGGAGCAGCAATGGGCAAAGTGCGGCACGCTACAAATATCCAGCATCTCATGGGGGTACTATGTAGTGCGTTTCACGTCCCAGTTCGACTATGAGCAAGCGGCGGCGGGTGGGCCGTGGATGATGGGGGACTGTGCGCCCGTGGCGGAAGAATTTTGATCCCCAGACTGCTGAGGTCGCTACGACTATGGTCTGGGCCTAACTTCCCAAACTCCCGATGGAATTCATCAACCGTGAGGCAGTAGAGAGAATAGCTTCGCGGATAGGGAAGCCTGTGAAAGTAGATCGAGCCACCATGACGGGGGATCGTGGTCGTTACGCGCGTGTCTGTGTCGAGGTCGACTTGACAAAACCTCTTCTTTCTCAGTACAAAGTGGAGGGCAGAACATACTATATCCATTTTAAAGGGCTCCACAACATATGTACTGAATGCGGTAAATATGGCCATTCGGTGAAGAGTTGTCATTTACTGTTCAAGCCATCACCACCTCCATCGTAGGGCACACCGTCACCAGCGAGCATGGAGGAGGTCGTGCCACCCAAGGTTGATGGAGAGTGGATGATGGCGAAACCGAGGAAGAAGAAGTTCTCAGACTCGGAGGACTTCCGTTACCAAAACTAATGAGGCGCCTATGGAAAAGGTGGCGGCTGCTCCTGCTGGGTCGAGATTCAAAGAGTTGGCATCAGTCGAGGAATCTGATAATGACGATGACATTGAGGAGATCCTGATGGAAAACCCACCCGAGGCAGTACCTTCAACCAAGGTTGACAGCCAGGTTGTCATGGCTTAAGACGCACCCCAGCCAACGAATACTTCCCACCCCGAGCAAGCACTTCCGATGGTGCTGGACAGCCCGGTGGATCCACCACGCCTGGTCGAGGTGCCCATTCATCAGGTTGGGTGCATCCCCGAGGCCACTGTCATTATGAGACCGGAAGATAGGGGAGGAGGAGTTGGGACTCCTGAAGCTCCTGCCGCTTCAATCTCAGCAAGGCCTTCTTCCTCCTACCCAAAGAGGGATGCCCGAGGAGTCATGCAGGGACATGGGCCACCGAAACAAGATCACAAGAAGCTACCACCTAGTGTAGCTAGCAAAGGTTCCCAACGCGCTAAAGAGCAACGTGCAACGGGGGCTAGCACAGCCCCAACCTCAGGGCGCTGATCGCCGACCGTGGCCTCGAGCCACCGGGCTTCAGGGAAGTTTCTTCCTTGTGCTCTCTCTTTAGGTGTGGTCTTTTGCTTTACCGTTATGTTAGATATTTTTTCGTGGAATTGTCAGGGGGCGGGGCATGATAACTTCGTCCCTTTTTTGTTTTCGTTTATTGGCCCTTTTAGGCCTGATATGATTTTTATCTTTGAGCCCCGCATTAGCGGGAGGACTGCCCGCCAGGTTATTTCCCGCCTTGGTTTTGATGGGGTTCTAATGGTGGATGCTCGCGGTTTCGCAGGTGGCATTTGGGTCCTATGGCGAGAACGTGATCTCAAGGTGGACCCAGTCTATGATTGGGAGCAAATGGTTCATATGAAAGTCTCAAGGAGAGGGGAGCCGGCGCAGGAAGTGTTGGTCTCGGCCATCTATGCCAGCCCCAACACTTCGCTTCGTCAGGATCTTTGGACAGAGTTAATTCGAGTCTCCCACACAGCGCGTCTTCCATGGGTGCTTGCGGGTGATTTCAACTCTATTCTTGGCCCGGCTGATACAATGAGGGGTACTGGTTATTGTGAAGCTCGAGTTCGCCCTTTTCGTCGTTGTGTGAAGGAGTGAGCTTGTTGATTTGGGATTTTCGGGCCCCCGTTACACCTGGTGTAGAGGTAATTTGTCTCAGCGGTTGGATAGAGCTCTATGCAACCAAAGGTGGATGCTCAAGTTCCCGAACTCTACGGTCTACCACCTGGAGCGCATTGGTTCTGACCACCGACCCATACTAATCCGAGCTACGACTAAAACTCCCTGGCAAGCCCGTCCTTTTCGCTTTCTGGCAGCATGGTTGGGCCATGATGACTTCCCTCGTATGTTGGAGGAATCGTGGGGGAAGGCCTCGGCATTCACTGGCCAAACTTCGCTCCTTATGGAGGACGTGAAGCTATGGAATAGGGATGTGTTTGGCCATATTTTGAAGAGGAAAAAGAAGCTGATCACCAGGCTTCGTCAGCTGGAAGTTCGCAATGAGTCAGGTTCCTCGGCTGCCTCTAGGGATGAAGAACAGGCGGTGCGATCTGAGCTAGAAACCACCCTCTGGCAGGACCAACTCCTCTGGTTTCAGAAATCTAGATCATCATGGATTATCTACGGTGACAAAAATACCCATTACTTCCATCTCTCTACCTTTAAGAGGTGGAAGTTTAACAGGATCGCTAGCCTGAGAGACGACACGGGGAATTGGATTTCTAATGACCAGCTTCTCCGGATCCATGTCTGTGACTTTTACCGCAACCTCTTCCTTGCCGAGGATGGGCCTTCTCCGTTTTTTTATGCAACTTTTGACAAAATCTCCGATGCAGAGGCGACCTATCTTGCCGGCGATATCAAGCAGGAGGAGGTCTTGTTTGCAGTGAAGGGGATGGGTGGCTTCAAGGCTCCGGGACAGGATGGGTACCCTCCGATCTTCTACCAGAAGTGTTGGAATACCGTAGGGCCATCCTTTTCTACCTTTGTGCAGGAATGCTTCAGGAGGCCGGGCCTAATTAGTGAAGTCAATGTGACCCTCCTGGTTCTAATCCCGAAAATGGAGAGCCCAATGTCTATCAAGCAATTCCGCCCAATAGGCCTGTGCAATGTGGTGTACAAGTCCCTAACTAAGTGCTTGGTGAATCGGATCAAGCTTTGTTCCGGGACGTCACATTACTGACAACATTATTATCTTGCAGGAGGTGGTTCATTCTATGAATCTCAAGCGAGGTAAGAAGGGCCAGATGGTAGTCAAGATCGATTTGGCTAAGGCTTATGACAGGATCAGCTGCCCGTTCGTCGGGTACACCCTCATTGTCGCAGGTTTCCCCACGAAGCTGGTCGAGGTTATTATGGCCTGTATTTCCACTTCGACAATGCATGTACTATGGAATGGTAGCTGCACTGAACCCTTCACACCTTCCCGGGGACTTCGTCAGGGTTTCCCCCTCTCTCCCTACCTGTTTACACTTTGCATGGAACGCCTAAGTCATCTGATAGAGAAGGAAGTGCAGCAGGGGACCTGGAAGCCGATTAAAACCTCCCAGGTGGCCCGACCCTCTCCCACTTGTTTTTTGCTGACGATCTTATCCTGTTTGCAGAGGCTTCGGAGACTCAAGGGCAGGTTATCATTGACTGCTTGGATCGGTTCTGCCAAGCCTCGGGTCAACTGGTGAGCAAGGAGAAATCGGTGGTTTACTTTTCGCAAAACACTACGAGGTCGAGCAGCGGTTCTGTAGCCCGCATCCTGGGTATCCCGCCGACTCAGGATCTGGGGAGGTACTTGGGTGTCCTAGTTTTACATGGCCGGGTGACGAGGGATACGTACAAGTACATTTTGGACCGTATGGACAAGAAGTTAACGGGGTGGAAGGCCGATAGTTTGTCCCATGCGGGTCGGTGACGTTGGCGACGTCTGTTCTCAACACGCTCCCCTCCTATGTCATGCAGACGACGTACCTGCCTATATCAATCTGTGACCAGATCGACAGGCGGATCCGAAGTTTCATTTGGGGTTCGACTGCTGATGCCCACAAGATCCACCTGGTCCACTGGGATGGTGTTTGTCAATCCAAAGATGAGGGCGGGCTGGGCATTCGCAAAGCACATGAGCTAAATCTTGCTTTCCTGGCTAAGCTTGCTTGGTTGTTTACTAAAAACAAGGATGACCTATGGGTGCGTGTTTTGCAGGCCAAATACTTCAAAACGGTACAGGGAGAATTGAGGCTCAAATCCCAGACGCGGGCTTCATCCCTTTGGAAGGGTATACTCAAAGCCTGGCCTATTATGGTCGAGGGGACGAGAATGTGCATCAAGAATGGCCAATCAACAAACTTTTGGGCGGATCGCTGGATTGATAGTGGAGATATGTTCCTTGATTATGCTCGCCCAGAGGGCCCTGAACCCGACCCTAACCTCCCAGTGGCAGCGCTCGTGCAGACCTCAGGTGAGTGCAATATTCTCGTGCATCAACAACTTCTTACCGAGGATGGGGTCTTCCAGGTTCTTGGTGTTCAACCACCCCAGGAGCTCGCGGGGGAGGACTGGGCGACTTGGGGACCCGAACAAGATGGCCGGTTTCGGGTTCGCTCCGCCTACAAGATTGCTGCGCAGATGGACGGCTCGACCTCCCCGATGGACTGGCGAACTATTTGGAGGTGGCAGGGGCCAGCTCGGGTTCGTCACTTCCTGTGGTTGGCGGCCCGGGATCGCTTGCTCACCAACGCGGAGCGTGAGCGTCGTCACCTGACCTCCTCGGCGTTGTGCACCCACTGCAAGAATGGCCCTGAAACAATCCTGCATGTGTTGCGGGATTGTCCTTTTCCCCGGTTAACTTAGTTGCAGGTCATCCAGCCTTCTGAACACCAGACATTCTTCGGGCTCCAGTTTCAGGACTGGCTTCTGAGATATATTCGACAGCCGCACACGAGCCTGCTGTTCGGCATCACTTGCTGGTCCCTTTGGCGGACCAGGAACGACCGCGTCTTTGCAGGCAGGGCCGTTTCAGCTGAAGTCTTTCTGCATCGCGTCCAGGCATGGATTAATATAGTGCAGATTGCAATCGATAGGGACAAGGCAGTTCACCATCCGAGTCCACCTGCTAGAACGGAGGAGATGATCTCTTGGACGCCGCCTCCTCCCGAGTGGGTAACTCTCAACTCTGACGGCTCCGTCATTTCTGAGTCAGGCCACGCGGCTGCTGGTGGCCTGATTAGAGATCACACTGGGCGCTGCTATGCGGCGTTCGCTATGAAACTCGGGATTTGCTCTGTTACCCGAGCTGAGTTGAGAGCCGTTGTAGAGGGACTTCAGCTGGCCTGGGATCTTGGCTTCCGCTGGGTCAAAGTTCAACTTGACTCAAAATGTGCCCTTCAGATTCTCCAGTGCCCCCATCGTGAGGATAATAGGCACTCAGCAGTAGTAGCTCGATTCCAGGCGCTTATTGGAAGAAATTGGGAGGTTTTCGTCTCCCATGTCTACAGAGAGAGCAACAAGTGTGCTGATTATTTAGCTAGTCGAGGGCATCACTTGCCGTTGGGCTTCAGTTCTTTTCCCGTTGATGACCCCACCCTTGTATACTGGATTTTGTATGACCGTCAGGGGCTTTCCGAACCCCGTCTGGTTTTGAATGAAGGCTGAGATGCTCTGCATCCATTTATAAAAAAAAGCAAATTTTTTTACCTACAACCTTACACAAGTAATTACAATCCGCCTGCAATAATTGGTATTGTTAATCAATCTCTGGTCGTTGTCAACGTTTTTATGCGTTTTATTAATAATTACTACCGGTCAGCAATAACATTTGCGAAATGACAATATTAATCTATGTTCGTGACTTAGTCAAATTACATTATGCATAACATGTAATGTGTTTTGCTTACGTCTGTAATGTTTTAAATGATATTATCAATCTTTTCGTATTATGTTTCAATTTTTTGTCATAAAGTTCATTAGAAAATGGTTAAGGAATTTTTTCCCGTATTTGTACCTTTATTTTCCGGCATTATCAACAATCTTACATTATTAACAAATAATGTTTCATTGTCAAAAGCATCAGCAACTGCGTCACCAAATATTCACTATCCTAAATCATCTGAAACCGCATACTATGTCCCCTGAAACTCGATACCAACAAACCATCCACATCTAAACTAATGTCAAGACCAAACACCTCATGTTTCCTTAACCATCAACAGATGTAGTATCCAATGAAATCTCATCTTGGCTTCCGTCCATGTTATGGCCAATATCGTCCCCTTCCAAGTTGACATCACAAGATAGTTCATTTAGGTTTGTAATATTGACGAGATAACAAATACGTAAGTGTTGTAGTAACAGAATTATTAAACAGTGTTATTAATATCAACAAAGAAAACATACAACAATATAATAAATCGTCCTCCCGCACAGATATTTACCATTAACAACAAACGTACACGTTATTATTAAATAAATCTTGTTTGATTATTAAATCAATAACGTTATTACCAACAAACGAATACGCTACATTTTTTAAATTTTCATTTACAATTTCTAACTCACAATAACATTATTATTAGTATTTTCAATAATATCAATGCACTACGTTATTAACAACTAAGTCGTTCTTATTACTCTTCCTTTTCAAATTATTAATAAAGAACGACGTTATTAATATAATATCTCGTCCTCCCGCAAACATATTTAACATTAACAACACACGTGCACGTTATTATTAACGAAATCATCCATTTTATTAATCTATCATCACACGTAAAATTATTAACAAGTAATGCAGTTCTTATTAATGATCCCTTTTCGAATTATTAATCCACAACGAAATTTAAGCTTTACATGCAAATTTACATATTAACTCAACACCTTTAATAATTAACAACTAATGCAGTTATTATTAATCATCCCTTCCCGAGTTATTAAAACACCTCGACGGTGATGTCTCCACCGCTGATTCATTTTTCTAACCGTATTAAACCTTTAATTATTAACAAATAATGTCGTTCTTATTAATCATTCATTTTTGAATTATTAATCCACTACGGCGTTGAAGCTTTACATTCAAAGATAATTCTTAACTTATTACCTAAAATTATTAACAACTAATGTCTTTATTATTAATCAACCCTCTCCGAGTTATTAAAACACCTGCACTTTGATGTTTAGACCGGTGGTTCATTTTGTAACCTTCTCAAACCATTAATTACTTCCAAATAATGTCGTTATTATTAATCATCCATTTTCAAATTATTAATCATCCCTTAAATATTAACAACGCAAATCAATATAAAATAGGAAAAAGAAATACAAAAACTTACCAAACATAAAGGCCTTTGTCGATTCCATCGAGTCGGTAGGCCAGCTACGTTGTTCGCGTTATCGTCGCGACGCCGTAGAAGCAGACCAATGATGACGGCTGCCGATGATTATGAAAGTGAGCCGGCTGTGCGACGACGACCACCGAGGCGTCACGGGAGAAAGGAGGAGCGACGGTTGACGGCTATGGCAGGTCAGAGCGACGAGACGGTGGAAAGCAGGCGACCTGTCGGCTACGCGGTACGCCGGCGAGTTTTGGAGAATGAGTGGTTTTAGGGTTGGGAGGAGACTGATTCTCAAAAACCCAATTAATGTCACGTTGTGTGGGTTTTGCCATTTTTATTTTAATAAATAATATCATTAAATATTTTGTAATTCCAGTCTTACCCTTTAACGTATTAAGTAGGTAGTTACCCGATGATTACTAATGACTCTCTCTCCTTCTCCTATTGGTTGAAAAGAGTTTAAGATCTTCCTTAAGAAATAGGCCTTAAGGACCTTATCTAACCCGAGCTTGGCAACCCAAATAGGCCTTGAGAATCAATACATGATGAAGTCTGTGAGAGCTGACAAAACGGGTTTTTAGAAGTTCGTCCACATGGTCCTTGAAGTTGTGCTCATTGAAGGATTCACCATCAAAATTGAGCAAGGGAACCACTTTCCAGAGTGATCTCCACCTGTTTGAAAAAATGCTACTTCGAACCACAGACTTGCTATCAAGGAAGGAGAGTACATGTTGCAGAACTTCGTCGGGAAGGCCACAAAGTCTGTCAAAATTGGCTCCATTAGAAAATATTTGTCTCCTTTCTGAAGGCATCTTGATTTCTTCAAGCATGGTTGATCCGAAGGATCAACTTCAATTCCTAGCAGAAACGTGCACCCAAACAAACAAATTGACAAAAACTTAGTATGAATTCCAAAATTAAAACTATCATGGACAAACAAAAAGATAACAACGTATGAACTTCTGTCAATGATTAAGAACTTCGTCAACAAGGGAAAATAGGCAAAATCGTGACTATGCCACAAAAATGCATATTGCATATTTGATAGTTGGAAATCTTACTATGAAGAAGAAAAAGTTGCTTACTTATACAAAGGATGAATAAGAGAGACAAGGCTCAAAAAATGTAGAGCTATGAAGATGACAAGAGAACAAGATTGACCCTTTCAAGAAACGATCCGTGTGTTGTTCTCTTGTTGTAGTGGTGAATTTGGTAGCAGTCAACTTTCAAACAATAATCGACGAAGCCACACAGAAAAAGAAAAGAAGTTGCTGGTTAGAGAGACTGAGGACAAGAGAAATGCAAAGGCGACGATGGAAATTATGAATAGTGGAGAAATGAAAAGAAAATGGAAGGGAGAAAGTTTTCCATCATTTTCTCCAAGTAGGAGAGCAGAAACATGGAGAAGGTGAACACAATTAAGTAAGATTGATGGAATGTGGACAGATGTGGACTTAGAAACGTTTTGTCTTATATAAAGTGGTGACTCATCCATGTTTTGAAATATCTATAACCAATAGAAAGAAAGTTGCGAGTTAGGGATGATATATTGAGTGACCAACAAAATGACAGATGACAGATTTGATAGTTGGAAATCTCACTAGGAAGAAGAAAGACTTACCTCAACAAAGGATGTCTAAGAGAGGCAAGGCTTCAGAAACATATAGCCATGAAGACAAAAAAGATAAAGATTGGCACTTCAAGAAACTATATGTGTTTTGTTCTCACTACAGTGGTGAACTTGGTCGTAATCAACTTTCAAACAACAATCGACGAACTCAAACATGAAAAGAAAATACGTTGCTCGTGGTGAGGTTGAGAGGCTAAATAAAGACTAAAATACAAAGGCAACGATGAAAATTCTGAATATGGTGAAAATGAACCGACGGTGGGAGTTTTTCATAATTTTTTGTAAGCAATGGAGCATAAACAAGGAGAAGGTGAAATGATTAAAGTGAGATTGATGGGATGTGGACAGGTGTGGATTAAGGATCGTTTTATCTCATATAAAGTGGTGACTTATCCATTTATGAAATATCTGAAACATAAAATTTTAATGCAGAAGGAAAAGAGAGCTAACAATACTACAAATTTGTCATCATCTTTGTTGCGAGAAAGGGAGGAAGTGAGGGAGAGAGAGAGAGAGAGAGCTAAAACGACAAAGAGATAAAGTTTAGAGAAACAATGATAACATATGTGATCACCGCCATCAGAATATCAGAGAATAGGAGCGAGAGAGAAGATATCAAGCAACTGTAGTGATAGATATGACCACCATCACTAGAAACTCTAAGGAGAAAAAAGAGAGAGAAAAAACTATAAGTAGGAGACATAAAGAAAGGAAAAGAGTGATGAAAAATCATAGGTTTAGAGAAAGAGGTTACGTGAGAGAATGTTGGCAAATTTGAAAATAATTAATTACATTTAATGAATTTTTCAAAATTTTCAAAACTATTTTTAATTTAATTAATTGGTAATGAATATTGTGGACCATAAGATTGAATGACATATGACTTTAATCAATCTTATGTTGATAATACTTTAGCCATTTGACTAAGAAAATAGGCTTAGTTATATGATATTCATTCTCACGAGTTATATATCTCCAACCAAACTTTTAAATCATACAAGTGTCTTTTCCATTCAAAATTCAAATGGTTGTTTTCCTTCTAAAGGGTAGACATTCTTAGGTGATGTCAAAGTGGAGACACTAGGCAAGACCCAATACATGCCTTACACATAGTGCTTTTTTGAAACTTGGTTAAGAGTTAAGAGAAGAAAAAAATATTAGTTTTTGTAGCTATACTAAAGTTCTTATGTGTCTTTGTAATTTTATATTTTTTAGATTTTTTGCAACATTGTTTGTGTATTATTGGATTGCATTTTCTATGCACAACAATCTTGAAATTTTTATTTACCCCAAACATAAATTAACTTTCGTGCCTAATTTAAAACAAAGTTGTAACGGAAATTAAACAAACTCTCACGCAATGTCAACTAACAATTGATGTAAATGTAGACAGACCACGCCATAACCTTTAATCATTAGTTTGGCGCCGCAAGAAGATGCTCCTACGCGTGGCATCAAGAACCTATCCGAGCTCTGCAAATCGATTTGTTTTATGTTACCACCTAAAATTCTTTTCGCGCCGACTTTAAAATGAATCTATAACAGGAAAAAAAGCTCACGCTTGTTATAAACAAAATCCTGAATTCCGCACATTAGTTAGTTCACTGTTACACCCCTAATAAGTTTCCGACATCAACTTCAAATGAAATTTTACTTTAAAAAAGAGACTTTCATGTCTTATAATCAATAAGACATAAACCTAGTTAATATCATGCCATATATGTAACTGGTTTCAAAATTCCACATCTATATTTAATATGCAGCCATATATGTAAAACTGGTTTCTAATTTCCACGTATATATTTAGCTTCTCATCATATATTTAATTCTCATATTTAAAGTATCAATAATTGTAACTCACATGCATATATCTATTCATGGATAATTAATTATACACGAGAAAAAGCCCACCAGAACTATTTTTGAAGGGATCGACATTTTGTAACGGTTGGAAATTTTAGGGTAAAGTACCGCTTGTGGACACTAAAAGTTACACATGTCATAAAAAGTATACATGCATCTAACATACATGTATTTTCTTGTTGTTTTGTTTTGTTTTTAGGTTTGGGCTCACGAATAGAAGTAAGAAACTGCAAAAGCAAAAAAAAAAAAAAAAAAAAAAGTAGTCCATGCATTGCATGTATTTGACCGCTTCAAATAATTAAGAAGAAATCCTTTAGTATTTAATGGTAGACAACATGCATGTTCTATATCAAAGTTTGTTTCGCTTCGCTACAAAAACTTGTCATAAAAAAGTATACATGCATTTATAACAATAACAATTACATTCTAGTGTGTCATGTTCCCCATCCACCAAAAAAAAAAGATGATTTGTTTATGTTTAAACCATAAAATTTATCTTGTACCACATTGGTGAGTTACAAGATAATTAATGAGTTTATAAGGCCACACCCATTATAACAAATAATATTGTTTAAGTTGGGCCTTATGGATATTGATTTTAAGCTCAATCCACAAAGTCTGGAGAGTGACATGCCGCCTCAATGAAGAGGGCCATGTCCATCTAAAATCTAGAAGCATGTGCCGCCTCATGAAGAGGGCCATGTCCATCTAGAAATCGAGGAGCACATGCCGCCCAAAGATCAAGACTTAAGGACTGAAAAATAAACTAAGTCTGGAAGAGGTACATGCCGCTTCAAGGAGAAGCATGTGCCACTTCAACGAGAGGTCCATGCCGCTGCACGAGAAGGGGTATGGACGTGAGACAAGATGACGCGAAGCAAGAAGCATTAGAAATGATTGAAAATACTAAGTATGGAAAGGCCATGTCGCCTCATGAGAGGGGCCTTGTGCATGATTGAGAAGTCCATGCCACTTGACAAGAGTGGCCATGGACACGAATGAGAAGGGCGTGGTGGTGGAGCACTATATCAGTAATGACTAAGTCCCAAGTGGGCCATGGACATGAGTAAGAAGTCCATGGCCGTAAGACAAGAAGTCCATGGACATGAGTAAGAAGTCCATGGCCGAGAGGCAAGTAGACCACGACCCCCTTTTGCGAGACACCACATGCTCGTCAAAAGACTAGCATGGCACGAGATTCAGAACAAAACCAGGCGAGGCAAGCTACACTCCAAAACCCATGACGGTTCCAAGAGAGGCACCTAGGCGGTTGAAGGAGTAACCACCACTCCGAGGAAGCAGGGAGCGGTTCTTTTTGGGAGTTATCCAAGAGGCGGTTTTCTACCGAAGAAGGAGGAGCGGTTCTTTGTAGCAGTTATCCAACAAGCGGTTTTCTATGGCGGTTACCTCCTCGGGGCTATAAATAAGAGGAGGGGTCGACAGAGACAAGGGTTCCAAAACCAACACTCTGACACACATGTCAAGTTTATCCTTTACCTTTTCTCTATCATGTAGCCATAGATGTAGTTCGTAGTTTGGAGCTCTCGCCGAACCTCTATAGGAGTAGGAGTAACTTAATTTAGATCTCGTTCCCAAAAACCATCAATCAAACACCCTCGTTCGAACTTTGTTTGAAGAGGTGTGAGCCGTGTCTTAGAAATCGTTGTCCATAGAAGTCAAAGGTGCAATCCATCTCAATTCATCACGAGAAGTTTTCTTGCCAGAAAACAAATTTGGCACACCTGGTGGGACCTTGTGTTTGATATGATGGCTCCACGACATAGACAACAAGATGAAGATCTTCTACAAGTCTTTGTAGAAGAGGATCAAGTGACTAGCTTCAAAGTTGGTTGAGTGGCTGTTGTTGCCGGAAACAATGGCGGGATGAAGGCTCTGCCAGCACCAGCCACAAGTTTGGATGAAGGAGCTTCCATCACTTCACTCCATCAATCCATTGAGGAGGGTATGGTTGACTCCCAACAGGTAAACCGTCCTTTAACTTCTCATATTAAGAGCCATTCTTATTGAACGTCTCGATTCTCTCATTGAACGTCAGGATTCTCTCATTGAGCGTCATGATTCTCTCATTTCTTGGATGGATACATGTCTATATAATTGGTTTGGCAACTTGAGCAAGACTCAAAGCCACTTTTATGAGTCTAGACATGTCTCGGACATATCTGTGGTTCAATCAAGGACTTTGCCAATAAATAGCAAAGATCCACCACTAAACAGTT